AGATGCAATCAGTGCATCGGACCTTCTGCGCGAGCGCGAGATGCGTCGGCGGGCCATGCAGGCGCTCTTGCAGGCCCGAGACGACCGGGATTTGCACCGCGCCGCTGCTGCCCATGACCGGGCTGCGCATCCGTTTCAGCCCCGGCACGAGGTGGCGCACTGGAGGAAGGCTAAGAAGGCGCATGCTAGGCGGCACGGACGGGGGGATTCTGATCGGACAACAGGGTCGAAATAATTGATTGGTCGCCGGGGCCATCCTGCTCAAGCGGACCCGTGTGCGGCAAGCGTTGCAGGGCGGGCGCCAGCGTTTGAGCTTTGTCGGCGGGCATTCACCTGACGTGGATCCGACGCAGCAAGCGTTTCGACTTGCCCCCGGTGCTCAACCTCAGGCTTCCGGCAGAAACCTGGCGACCAGCAAGAGCCCATAGCTCCAGAAGCAGGATCTCTCTGGGTGCCCAGACCACCAGTGCCCCCGGAATCATGGGGTGCCAGAGTCATCGACTCCAGCTCCGACTCCAGCTCCGACCCCAGCGCGCCCTCTCCGACGACATTCGACGAAGCGACCGACCGGCGAGGCATTTCATCCAGCCCAGCAGACCACCAGTGGAGCCCCCAGCGCAGTCTGCATCGCAGAGGACCCCGAGTTACCTACGACGACCGACAGCAGCATAATCCCCCCCCCCCAGCAACCTTAGGGGCCGACGCGGCGATCGATGCGACGCCTATCTTGAAGAAGCTAACCGGGGAGCCATCGTCAGTTACTGAACGCGCTGCTCTTGCTGCTCAGGCTAAGCCCGCCGACGTGGCCACTCCTGCAGCCGAGGCAATGGAGCGCGTTGAGCGAATGGAATCTACTCGCGCCTCCACGCGGAGAATGCCCGTTACCGCCTTGCTGGCAGGAGCGGTTCCCAGGCGTGGCCAGAACGAGCTCAATTCGAAGCGCGTCTTCCCTGGGCAAGTTCGGAAGGCCGCGGAAGCGAAGGCCCTGGATATCGAGAACCTGATCTTGAAGGGATGTCTGGGGTGGTCAAGAGACCTGAGGAGAAGGAGGTCCCCGAGAAATGGAGTCACATGTTTATCGAAAAAGGCGAGGATGGTTTGCGACTCGCGTCAAGGCCAGGTGGCGTCGACGGGGGCGCCTTGACCCGATCTCCCCGAGCTCGTCCAGGATGGCGAGCTCCGGAGCCCGACTGTCGCACCCCTCGGTCGTGCGCTGCGTCTGGAGATGGTGGCCAGCCATTGGTGGGGCCTGCAGTTCCGCGACGTGAATTGTGCTTGTCCGGGGGCCAAGAACACCATGCGTCGCGAGCCCATGTTTACGACGTCGCCAACAGGAACGTCCAGAAATGCAAAGGGGGAGGTAATGGTGGTCACAGGGGAGATGCACGGTAAAAAATGACGCCCCCTTACGAACGTTCCCAATGGTTCGACGGTTACTTTCGACAGCTTATATCCTGTCCTAGTCATCAGACCCTTTCCCGTGTTCCCCCCGAGGCCAAGGGGCCCTGACCGGAACGCTCGCCTGCCTCGTGGACGACAGTGCCGCTCGCCGCCCACCAAACCACTCCAACCCAGTCCGAAGGCCCCGATTTGCCGCCCATTTCCAGAGAGGGAGGGTCGGGGAACATGGGAAAAACACATGAAGCCCGCCCCCGACCCGAAATTGGGGTCTTCGGGTTGGTATGGGGTGGTCTGGCAGGTAGTCAGTTACTGGCGACTGTGGCGCGCTGCGCCGCGATGCGATTCGGCGACTGAAGGAACATTTCCCGCTCTGGAAATGGAAACAACATCGGGGAGAGTTCTGCGGAACGAGTTACGCTCAAGGTCCAGCGACCAAAATCATCCAAGGGAATCAGTCGAAGTTCGCGGAGAGAGTGCGACCCGCTTGTTTCGCTCGACATCGCCCACGAAACTTATCATCGCCGGCGACCGATACGGGAATTGCCTAGGGCGTTCGTGTTTCTGAGATGGCGATTGGCTGCGCAAAGAGCCGCGACCTGACCGATCCTGCCAGGCATAATTTGCACGGGATGTTTTCCGGGGCCCGCTGTGGGCGAGCTGGCACAGACTGCGGTCATGATTCGCCGCGCCGAACAGCACGCAGATCTCGCGATCTCCTGCCTGGCCATTCCGCCTGACGAGCTGGCGATGATCGCCCGCCCCGATGCGGCCTGGGGAGAAAGAAGCACTGCGCTCAGACGGGATATGTGTTGGCATCTTCTTCTACGACAATGCGCGGTGGTCAGGCGGCCCTCCGGGCACTTCTTCCATTTGGCCCTGCCAGCTTCGGCGTGTTGCGCAGACGCGGAGTGCGTGTCACTCATGCTGCATGAGGCCCTCGACGTACCAGTCGATTCTAGAAAATCTCGACGCCTGCGCGAGCACCCGGGGGCCCATCGTGGTCACCGACTGCAGGTCTCTCTGTGAGACGGCCAAGGCTAACGCGTCTCCAGCGTTCCTAGAAGACGAACGCTCTGCGATCGACGTGGTGGCGAGCGAAGATTCGATCAAACGTTGCCAGGCCAGTTCAAGGTGGCGCCCTACTTGTCGACAGTTGACGGACGTTTGGAGGAAAGACACAGGCGGGCCCAGAAGCCTTCTTGCGGGCTCGCATGCGGGCCAACAGCCACCAGCTAGCCGACGAAGAGCACGCTAGATTTAAAGGCCAACGAACGGGAAAACAGGAGATTACGCGGTGCTCGACGACGCCCTCCAGGACCGCATCGATCCAAGGGCGTGCTCCCAGATCCATAAACGAATGGGACGACTGCGGGAGGCATTCTCTATAACCCCGCGGAGCGTTATCCCGAGAAGGGAAGATCGCCTCGACATGAACCGCTGTTTCCGAGGAGCGCGCGCTAAATATGGCGGCCCGCTTGCAGGCGTTCCATCCCGAGCGAGGGCCCTTCGGCACCCAGCCTTCAGAGAACATCGCTGTTTTGGCTCATGCAGCTTATCGCGCCATGCGCGCGCAAAGGTGCACGCGCGCTCGCTGATCAGCGCAGACTCGCGCCAGCTGTGACGCCACGAAGGGCGAGAAAGTCTGTGGCGCATCGCAAACGGGAGGCGCCTTGAACTCTACGGTCTGGCGGTGGATCTGCTGCCTCCGACCTCTCAGGCTGCGCCCTGAAGATCGCTCGGTCGGCCTGGGCCGTCAGGAGAGGAAGGTTCGGCACCGCGCCACTCTCGCGCGACGTCTCCAGCTTTCCCGCTTCAGCAGTTCGTCGCCTATCTGTTGGTTCATGATGAGAAGTGCTATCCCAAAAGTCAATGTTGCTTGCGGCTGTGTCAAGGCCTCCGTGCTTTCGAGCCGCGACTACATCCCTCTCTCGAGGAAGGTTGTTGAAGCCCTGCCCTGCTTCTGGATCGCGCCCTCTGTCTGCGAGACGGCTCCGTGTATCAGCAGGCGGAACGCTGGGTCGCGAAAGGCCATTGCAATGCCACCTTCTTCATGCTTTTTCGGAAGACCATCTCCAGCCGACAGTGGAGCACCAAGTCGCACTTCTGCTCGATCGACCATTCGCTGTATTGTTCGTATGCTGCGCAGAGCTCCTTCAGCAGCGACGCGGGCAAGTTGAACCCTGGTATCTGGCCGCCAGGATTCCCCCCCGCGTAGTTTTTGAGAGCGCCTCCGAGTGCCCAGATGTGAGGCCGTCCGTACTCGTGCCCCCCTTCCACGTGCTCGGCGTAGTTCGCCGTCTGCCCCTGCGTCGCGAGCACGACGGGGCTGCTCTCTGGCATCAACCAAACGTCGTAGGCCGCTGTCTGTTCGCACGTGCTGTGCGCTCCTGAGCGACTGGTGCGCGAGGAGGCCAAGCATCGTCTTCTCGCCCTTCTTGAGAGATTTCACGTCGCGAAGGCCCTGCTCCTTCTCGGCCTGGCCGTCCACGGGGCGGCGCTGTCGGACGTCGCGTTGGTGGCCAACCGACGCTCCGTCCTTGGAGCCGAGGATGCCTGGCATCAATCCGTATTGGGTGTCGCTGACGTGCGCCTTGCGACAGCAAAAACCGAGGTACTCATAATGGAAGGGGAACAGCGCGGATGTGATGGAAAAGCTCTGCCACAGCTTCACATATGGAGGGCAGGTCGTTTCCAAAATGTGGTTCTCGCCTTATCGCCGCGCACATTCGTTTAAACGGATTGCAAAACCTGCACGGATTGCGTGCGAATCGTTTTCAAAATGTAGTTCTCGCCTCAGCGCCGCCTACATTCTTTTTGACACGTGTGCAAACACTTCACGGATTTAGGGCGGCTCCTTTTCAATATTTGGTTTTCGCTTTAGCGCCGCGCACAGTCGCAAGAGATGCACGGATCGCGGGAGGCTCCTTTTCACAATGCGGTTCTCTCCACAGTGCCACGCATACTCGTTTCAAACATTTGCTGAAGTTTCACGGTTTTACATGATCAGCGTACCAGGAATGGCGTTTTGGACGAATTCAGGATTAAGCGGGCGCAACGGTTACGTTGATTCGCGGTGTTGAAGTCCCAAGAAAGTTCTGGCACGATTCAGGATCGTCAAGACGCAACAGTCAGGTTGATCCGTGGCGTTGACATCCCGGGAATCTGACATCAGGGTCTTCAACGGTTGACTTCCATGGAGACAGTTCCCTCAATGGAAATGAACCGTTGTATGGGGCCCGTGAAGAGGGAGCTTGGAGGGGGGATATTTAAACATCGTTCATGCGTTTTGGGTTTACACTGGTCTTTCGATCCTCTTCCTTCTCCGGTCCTTCGCCTTCTCCTCCTCCTGGGCCCCCTCCTCCTCCTCATCTTCGTATTCCGGTGATCCCCCTTCCGATCCTCTTCATCTTCCTCCCCCTCCTTCTCCTCCTCCGCCTCCTCCTCCTCCTCCCTATCTTCCCCCTCCTCCTCCTCCTCCTCCTCCTCCTCCTCCTCCTCCTCCTCCTCCTCCTCCTCCTCCTCCCTCTCTTCCTCATCCTTTTCCTCCTTCCCCTGCCCCCTTCGGCCCCTGCCGCCGCCGACGTGCCCCCCCCCCGCAGGAGAGCGGCGGGGCGTCGGTGGCCTCCAAGGAGGCCGCCGCACCGCTGCTGCGGCGCCCGGGGGCCCGGCGCGCCTGGCTGCCCTGCGCGGGGCGCGCGCCGAGGGAGGACCGGACGGGACTATATTCCGAGTTCCTCAACAGTTTGACCAGGGGAGGACGAGGGGAAGGAGGAGGAGGAGGAGGAGAAAGAAAAAAAAGAAACATAAGGCAAGTAAAACGAATAACAATAATAAGAGTAATAACCATACAAACTAATATTAATAATAATGAGAACAATAGTGATATGTGAATATCAATATTAATAATAATAGTTGTAATAATAATAGTAGTAATACTAATAACATTATTACTACTAATATTCATAATAATAGCAATAATAATAATGATCATACTAGTACTAATGATCATAATATTAGTAGTAGTCATAATCTTAATAATGATACAAACATCGGATTACTCATGATAAGACTAGTAATATCAATAACAATAATGAAAGTAGTAATCACAGTACTAATACTGATACTTAAAATCATAACACTAATACTAATTGTAGTACTAGTAATGATAGTAATGCAAAGAAGAAGAAAAATAAGAGGAGGAGGATGCGGAGGAGTTTGAGGTTGGAGGGAGGAGGGAGGAGCGAGGAGGGAAGGAGGAGGGAAGAGGGAGAGGAGGAGGAGGAGGAGCAATTCGAGGAGGAATTCGAGGAGGAGGAGGAACAGGATCAGGAAGGAGGAGGAGGAGGGGATCGACTACAGAATTGATTTTCTCAAAAATGGATTTCCCCGTCGACGAATCGACGGAAATGATGCAGCACCCCCCGTACTTCTGCGAACATGTTACGTAATTTTCGTAGATTTGATTCGGGAATCAAGTTTGGGGACAATCAATTCTGCAGTCGACCCCCTATGCGAATAGTTTTGGAATCCCAGACTGCAGGGGCCCCCCGGACGACAAGGGCCCCCCACCACCCACCCCTGGACTACAAGGGCCCCCCAGACGTCCTACAGGGCCCCCCCCCCAGACGTCCTACAGGGCCACTCCCCCGAACTACAAGGCCCCCCCCCCCCTGATCAGAGGCTCCCCCGCCCGACTCGCGGGCCCACCCCGCCCCCTGGATTACCTACCCTGGACTGTAGGGCCCCCCCCCTGGACTATTGCTCACTCCAAAACTATTGAGGCACTCGGAGTATAGGGCGAGGATGAATCACCCACGGCGTGGGCAAAAAATCAAGACGGAGGCGTTTCGTAACCTTCGGCTTCCAGGGGCCCTCGCCAGGCCCCGGGACCGTCAGACAACGACTCGGGATGAGAAGACGGTCCAGAGGAAGTGGTCGGGACTTCCGGAGACCTCGGGCCCGAGGGGAGATTTGTTCGTCTCCCTCGGCTCTGGGGGGCCCTATAACTGGGCCTCGCGAGCGTCAACAAAACGATTCGGGATGGGAAACCAGTCCCGGGGAACAGGTCGAGACCTCCTTGGGGTCGACGTCGTGCAACAGTCATGGCGCCGGGGTTGTGGGGACGAGGATGCGTCAGTTCCAGAGCTCTGCGGAACGCTCTTAGGGCGTTCTGGGACGCTCTGAGAAGGCCGCGGCGCCCGAGACATCCTCCAGAGCCGCCGGCTCTCAGAGATTCTTGCTCGATCCTCATCCGATGTCTAGCCTCGTCCTGGCTTCGTCTCCGAGGACGGCGAGTGACGTTTGCGCCATCGAAGAGAAGGCCAGATGAGGGAAATATGCCGACACCGCTACGGTAGGTTGGCGTCGTGTCGACCAGCGGCGACCCCGCCGTGTGGCCGTCGGCCTGGCCGATGGCCTGGTGCCCGTGCTGGGGCAGCGGCTGGAGAGCGTGTAGCCCGCTCCGTCCTTGCTCCTACCCCCGCCTCCTTGTGCATGTCCGTTACTCCTCGGGATCCTCCCCATGGATGGGGTAGGAAGGACGTATGTAAGTCAGTCAGTCAGTACGTAAGTGAGTAAGTGAGTAAGCAAGTCAGCAAGTCGGTAAGTCAGGGGTTAAACACGTAAATACCTATTGAAGGAACTAAGTAAGCACGTTGGTACGTATGTAAATGAGTGAGTGAGTAAGTGAGTGATAATGTAAGTAAGTAAGTTAGTCAGTGATTGAATACGTTTGTTGGTAAATAAGGAAATATTCCGAAAGGGAAGTAAGTCAATACTTACGTAAGAGCCTATGTAAGTAAGCATCGAAGTGGGTAAGCAAGCAAGCAAGCAAGCAAACAATCACGTAGGTAAGTGAGTCAGTAAGTAAGTCAATAAGGAGCAGGAGGATGAGGAGGAGGAGGAAGAGTTTTGTGCTGGCGTGGCCAGGGGGCGCAGTGTGACTAGCAGCCAACGGCTTCGCGCCGAGGGGCGCGATAAAAAGGGACGACGGGCACTGAGTGCCTCCGTGGGAAAATAAAGGTACACATCCCACTGAGGGACAGGCGCCCTGAGGGCACTTATGACCCAGGGACAAGCAGATGAGACGAGACAGCTGGGGGGAATAAGCCTCAATGCTTACCGCCAGTTGTTCATGCTGCGCCCGCCACTCAGGACTCAGATAACGACTTCTCCAGTGCCGCCCCAAGCCAGCTGAGGGGCGCCACCCCCCCGGCTGACTCCCACCCCCACGCACGCACCGGACGGGGCACCCGGGCCGTGGGAAGAGCGGGTGGGGATCCTCCGATGAGCCGCCCGCAGGCGACCCACGTCCCCGCCCGAACCCTGGCGGGGTACCAGGTGGGCTTTGCAATGGGGACGCAACGTGGCGACGAGAGTGCAATTTTCTTTCCCCATGGCCCACTACGGGCAAACAGGGGCGACGATCGGGCTGCAACCCGTTTGTTTTTTCTGGGACGCCCGAGGGCACCAAGTGGCACAGGTAAGACGCCCAGGGGCTCATTATTTTGTTGTTGTTTCAGCTGTCATGAGATTTAGCAAGACGCGATTTGTTCGTGAAGTTTATCTGGGTCGGAAACAAACACATGTTAATTTTCATCCTTGCCAACATTGATTTTCATTGTTTCTGTCAAGCGAGATGGCGTTGTTTTAACCAGATGTTCATGAACCATGCAATAACAAGAACAAGGCAAAGCAAACGAATTGTCTTAACATGGCGTGCACACGCAAAAGGGTTCGATGCCATCAAATTTCCAGAAGTGGAGCTGCGGGTCCTCCCCCCGCAAGGCCAAGTGGTTAGATGTGTCGGTTGGGAGAGCAATAGTAGTTAGATGTGTCGGTTGAAGTAGTCAAGTAGTTATATTCGTGGTTGGAAGAAAATCAGCGACTGCGGCGGGCCGCCATCGCCTGGAGTGCCCCCCCCTCGGCCCCAATCAGTGGCTAAGCTGGTGAGCTGCAATTGTCACTTCCGCATTTATTTGTTGATGCCGTCGCGTCGCCGGTTTGACTCGAACATGCCCGTCCAGACTTTCTACCGACCGTATGCCAAAGTCTTGTAGCACTGTCTTGCAATATGACTGCATAGTTAACATTATGAGTGTCAATGTCCCGCTGTCCCAACGTAAACCCAAGGATCTCTGGAAAGTAGGAAAGCAGACCAGAGATGGTACGACATCAAAGTGGGCAGCTATTGCAAAAAATCGCGGGTTGTCGTCCGATTTATTCGACACGACTTCTGAAGCCCAATCGAATCAGCAACGACTGGCAGCTCAAGTGGACAAGTGGCTTCGTGCGCAGGAGCCACCCATGGATTGGTCATATTTCCACGTCCAGAGAGCAGTGGGTAACCTTCGATGCCAGATACGTTCGCTAAAGGCCCTGAGAGCCAAACATCCGCACAAAGCACCGAAAAGCCACCCACAGCTTCGAACCTCACTCGGTACAGTTTCATCGGGGCTGGACAGAACCCCCAATAGTGACACGTCGATTAGTGAATTGTCCGTTTTCGGTTCTCGAGAGGGCGCCGTGGCCGTCAGTTTCCAGGCTTTCGCCCGCCAGGTTTGGGCCCCAGGTCGTTGTCACTAAACCACGTTTTGCTAAAGGGGGTTCTGTCCATCCCCGATTTCAATGTCAGAGTCTGGCCCGGCCAGTGCCGAGAAAGATAGCCGTGCAGTGACTGATCCAGATTCCGAAGATAAAGTTCAGGAGGTTCCCATCAAGCGAACATGCGTGCCCTGTCGTTCCAGCGGTTCGAATGTGGACGACACATGCGGCTCCGGCGCACACCGCGGCAACCACAAATGAGGAGAGTTCGACGAGCTGGGGAAGAGCCTCTGGCCAAGCGGGTCTGAGCCATCGGGAGCCGCGCCAGGACCGCCAAGTGCGGCACCGCTAGCGGCCTCGGCGGCCTTAACGGGCGTGCCGCTGCACCTGGCTAAGATTTGCGCTGCCGGGTCTGGTGGGTCATCACTTCGTAAAGTCGCAGGAGAAGCAACGCAAAGGCAAGGCCGACGACGAGACGGGCGCGCCGATGAAGAGGCCAGCTAGCGCTAAGAAGCGCCCTGCTGCTGACGCGGAGGCTCCAGCATATCCACTGGTAGTCCAGGAGACACATGTGCAAGTCTTGTATGATCATTGGAAGTCCATGAGACACACGTGCAAGTCTTGTACGATCATTGGAATGGGCGAAACCCTCCAGCGAGTGCCATGATCAATCGGTCGCGGTCCAAGGCGCACCACGACGAGGAGACTCGGCGCAAAAAGCTCGGCCTCTCCGCTGAGGAGGCTGAGGGCAAAGCTCGGCTGGCAGGCCGCGCTGCAGTGGATCGCTGGACGACGTGTTCTAAGGAATAAGGACGTGTTAGAGTGAGAAGCATAGCATATGCCCGTTTCCGTGCAGTTGCGCGCGATAGTATCGGGAGCCCGCGCAGTTGCGTTGGCCCAAGACTCGAATGAACGTCTCGAGAGGTGGTGCGAGGGTCGAGACCGGCCCCCACGAGGGAAGAAGATGGGGGGGGGGGAGGTGGAAGGCAGTAGGAGGATGAGACCTAGGAGGGATATGGGGGGCGCTGGAGGCCGCGGCGGCCCCGGGAGCCGAGGGGCCCACCGAGCCCCACGGGTCCTGCGACGCCAAGCGGGCTCTAGAAGTTAAGCTCTCCGCCGCCCCTCCACCCACCTCCCCCCTCATCCTTGGGCCCTCTCTATTCGCCTGCTTCCCTCGTCCTTCCCCTCGTCGCCCCCGCGCCTTCCCCCCCCGCCCCGCCTTCCGCCGCCCCTAACAGTCAGACCCCCTTTTTATCGCCCCATTCCGCCCCCTTCTCATCGTCGCCGCAGTCGCCGCCGCTCTCAGCGTCATCGTCGTCTTCGTCATCGGCACCATCATCGCTGACATCACCTCCGTCACGGCCATGGCCCTCGCCTTCCATAACCGCCATTACCTATGCGACCGCCCTTCGGGCGATAAGGAGGTCCGGGGGGAGGGGGGGGGGACCAGCGTCTCACTCGATCGGTCTCACTATCGGTCTTACGATCGATACCACTATCGGTCTCGCACGATCGATCTCACCCGATCGATCTCACATTCGATCTCACTCGACTTATTTCATTCGACCGATCTCACAATCGATCTGACTACCAAGCCCACAGTCGATCTCACGATCGCTCTCACTGTCGGCATCAAAATCGATCTCACACTCGGTCTCACTATCGTGATCACTACCGATATCACAATCGATCTTACAGTCCGTGCCATCAACATCATCGCCACCAACGTCATCAAAATCATCACGCCCATCGAGACACCATCATCATCATCATGATCACCTCAGCACCATCATCACCAACATCCATCTTCATCATCACCAGGACACCATCATCGTCACCATCATCATCAACATCATCATAATTTTGGACACCATCATCATCGGAAGCCCACATCATCACCACCACAATCACCTCATAGCCATCATGAATAACATCGTCAACATCATCATCATCATCATCGGGACACCATCCACATCATCAACACCATCATCATCAACATGGCCATCATCGGGACATCACCATCATCGTCACCGTCATCATCACCAGGATCGTCATCATCGGGACACCATCATCAGCATCAACATCATGATCATCGGGCCACCATTATCAACATCATCACCATCACCTTATCATCATCCGCATCATCAACATCATCATCACCGGGGCACCATCATCGGCATCAGCATCATCAACATCATCAACAACATCACCAGAACACCATCATCATCATTTTCATCATCAGCCGCATCGCCATCAACCTCATCATCATCATCATTGGGACACCATCATCATCATTGTCTTCATCATCATCATCCCATCATCATCTCAACGCCAGCATCATCATGATCACCAACATCATCATCATTACCGGGACACCATCATCATTATCAGCAACATCATCACCATCATCAGCAACCTCATCATCATCGGGACACCATCGCCATCACCATCATCACCATCAACATCATCATCACCAACATCGTCATCCTCATCATCGGGACACCATCATCACCACCACCATCATCATCAGCATCATCACCATCAACATAATCGACATCACCAGCATCACCATCGGGGCACCGACGGGGCACCGGCGGGGCATCGGCGGGGCACCGCGGGCCACCGGACGCTGGTCCGGAATCATGTGGTCCGCCGCGCATCAGCCCGAGGCGGGGCGCCGGCGGGGCCCCGCGGGCCGCGGGGCGCGGGTCTGGAATCCTTTGGTCCGGCCGCGCCCCAGCCGGAGGCGGGGCGCC